CCCCTCCCACCCGATGGTTACCCGATCCAAGGCCGGCATCTTTTGCCCTAAACAAATCCTAAACCTCAACACCGTTGTACCCATCTCCCCCATACCCCTACCTACCGTAGTTCTCTCAAAGATCCTAACTGGTACAATGTTATGCTAGATGAATATAATGCCTTGATAGCTAATCATGCATGGGATCTAGTACCCCCCTCCCCTAACCAAAATGTGATCTCCGGAAAATGGCTCTTCCGCCACAAACTTGGCCCAACAGGTGAACTGTCCAGGTACAAAGCCCAATGGGTTGTTCGTGGGTTCAACCAACGCCATGGCATCGACTACGACGAGACTTTCAGCCCGGTTGTCAAACCGGCCACTATACGCATTGTTCTGATCCTAGCCGTGTCCAAAGGATGACCGATCCACTAGTTCGACGTCAAAAATGCTTTCTTGCAGGGCTACCTCTCAGATACTGTTTACACCGCTCAGCCTTCGGGATTTTAGGACCCTGCTCGCCCACATTATGTCTGCAAATTAAATAAGGCACTCTATGGACTCAAGCAAGCCCCCCGTTCTTGGTACCAGTGATTCACGAGATTTGTTCTCTCTCTTGGCTTCAGTGGGTGCAAGAGTGATGCCTCCTTGTTTGTATACAGTCGCGGTCAGGACATGGCCCTACTTCTGCTCTATGTTGATGATATTGTCCTCACTGCATCATCCACTGCCTTACTACACCAGCTCACAGAACGACTAAAAGGGGAGTTTGCTATGACAGATATAGGTGACCTTCACTTCTTTCTTGGGATCAATGTCCAGCGGACCTCTCACGGCCTATTCCTCACTCAGACTCAGTTTATCTATGACATCCTCGAGCGGGCAGGCATGACCTCGTGCAAACCCGTGTCTACACCCGTGGACACCCGCGGGAAGCTCTCGGCCACCGTTGGTCCTCCAGCGCCAGATCCCTCTCTCTATCGCTCTATTGTGGGAGCACTGCAGTACCTCACCTTCACACGCCCGGATATTACCTATGCCGTACAGCAGTTATGTCTCTTCCTTCATGATCCTCGAGTGCCGCATGTCACAGCCCTGAAGCGCGTCCTGCGCTATCTTCACGGTACACCTACCCATGGCATCACCATCTCAGATAGATCATATGCGGGCATACTCTGATGCTGACTAGGCTGGCTGCCCAGATACTCGTCGATCGACATCTGGTTACTGCATTTTTCTAGGCGACAATCTCATCTCCTGGTCGTCTAAACGACAACTCACCACCTCTCGATCCAGTGCTGAAGCAGAATATCGAGCTGTCGCTAAAGTCTGTTGGGTGCACAATCTTCTTCTAGAACTCCGGCAACCTCTGATGCGATCCACACTGGTCTTCTGTGATAACATCAGTGCTGTCTACCTTTCGGCCAACCCAGTTAAACATCAGCGCACAAAGCATATTGAGGTAGATATTCATTTCGTGCGAGATAGAGTAGCCCTTGGCGAGATACGAGTCCTTCATGTGCCTTCTTCATTACAGTATGCAAACATCTTCACCAAGGGACTACCCTCCATGGTTTTCTCCGAGTTTCGAGACTGTCTGGGCGTGCGGCGATCTTCTTTGGTGCCGTTGGGAGCATGTTAAA